TACACGCTATAAATCACAGCGATTCACAATCTCGATAACTTCGCTCTCGACGAGTACAAAACACACGCTTTATATTACCCGAAAAACTACTGTTCGCTTAGCCATGCATTCATTTCCGCTGGCTTTTCTCGCCAGGCTTATATACTAACATAGAGGCTTCGCCAAAATTCGAGGAGTTCCCTGATAATTCGAGAAACTCAGTCACGCATGCACTAGCAGCGGCACGTGACTTTCGCTGTCATAACAATATGATAAGTCTAGACAACACTCTTGGTAACAATGCCACTGCGAAGAATCTGTTGTGCTTATTGTTATCAAGACTTTATTTACGTACACATTCTTATAGTTGAAAACATCGGGATTATAATAATTGAATTAATTCGCTGGTCAATACTTATTATGTTATTTCTGTTAGTGGATTTTTATTGGATTTTGAGTGCAAAGCGAACTAGCAATGAGTTATCTACGCTTTGTTCACCGCGGGGAAAAGAACCCTATATTTTAGCGTTTTTAGTCCGAAAACTTACAGATTTATTTCCTATTATATGTCTCGAAAACAGACCTTTTCAATTAGATAGCCTGGTAAGAGAATTAGATATATCAAACACATATAGCATTATTTAGAATATTCTAAAAAGTGATTATAACATGAATCATGAATATCAGTTTGTTTCTTTGTTTTCAGAAATAAAAGAATATTATATACAAACATCACATAAACATAAAGATATATAACGGTAAATAAACAGAACATAAGAGGTGGGTTTTAGTATATATTTGATGTTTCGTACTGCTCCTACATGGAAGGAATTGAGCAGATATTCTGAGCATGAAAATGTGTTAGTTAAATCCTTCTTTAAGAGTGACGATACCAAACACTAAAAAACATCACACTAGATTGTTAAACTGTTGTTCTACTATGTATACCACTACATGTCAGTATATCTGGCCAGACAAGACTTAGCGTACCAGATTACGGATCAAAAAATCTCAGGTTCAGGACCGAATTAACCGTAGAACATACATACCTCATTATTTTCCTATGTGGGGGTGTTATAACTTTTCGGTTAAGAGTAGCCTTATAATGGGCGGCAGGTAATGTTGACTGATTAACCTCCCTTTCGTCAGCACTACCAAATTAGGGATGACTATGCCTGAACAATAGGGTTATCTAACCTAGCTGTTTAGCCCAGTAAGATGTCGTTCGGGTTAAACAATAGGGGAATCTAGCCAAGCTGTTTAGCCCAGTAAAGTGCCGTTCGGGTTAAGAATGTCGGTACTAATGTTTGTCGAACATAAAAAGTGAAAAAACTGGCGTGCGAATGTAAAGAATGTAATTGAGAAATTATACTTTTAAAGAATATTTTAACACTCTGAAATGACTTAATACAATGGAACATGGAATGCACAAATAAATTAAGGTTACATAACCAGTGAGTTTTTATTTTCTTAGCATAACAGCTTTAAGTTGTAATTACCTCAAAAACATTTGAATTTTGTCGAGACTTTAGCCCACAGATAGCCTCCTTGTTAAACGTTGGATTCTTCTATCTTTAAAATCATTATCGCTTTTCCTAGAAGTTCCATAGCAAAATATCAGACCGTTAAAAGTTCAAAGAACTTAAGTGTGAAAGTAGAAAAGAATGTTTAGCGATACATCAACCACACTGTATCTCCCATGTCCAGTGCCGAAGAGGCCTTTCTGTTAATATGAGGGCGCATCAGACCGACTTGGATACTCCAGAAATCGGCTGAGTTTAACTATGTTCTGATGAATAGATGAAACCAGTTTTGGTATGTATAAGTATAAAACATGAAAGTAAAAGAAAATAATAAAGATGGTGAAATTGATCAACGTTTGCCAATTTTTATTTTCCTGTACAACATAATTTTTTCTTTGTTTTTGCCTAAGCAAACTAACATTGCAGAAAACAAACTCCTTAATTGTTTTTTTACATGTGACAGCCTTAGTGCTCTCTGTCATTCTTTTTTCAAAACGAACTGGTTCTACTAGCTTTCAAATTGTAAATCCGGTTGAGGTAGTGTTATTTTTTATAGCTTGACTCATCAAGAAACTTATCTGCTGTTTCATGGAATACTTGCATTATGTCCTACATGACCTTGTGTACGGAGAACACCTAACAACTATTCATTGGAGTAGATATATTTCGGATTGTGGTGCTTTATTCTGATTGGTCAACTACAGAATAAATGTCTTGACGATTTCAAAAAACTTCGTTTCAGATTTTGAGAAAGGCAGTTTATTTTATGTGTGTGAAAGTAAAAAAGAGACAAGACTTTCCTATCTGCTGGTTGGGAAC